AATGAAACGAATAAAAAATAAAAATCTGGTACACATAAGTGTTCTTACACCACGAACCAAACGAAAAAATCAATAAATGTACTATAATATTTTCATTTTATAAATCAAACATATCAAATTTTATAAAATATATCTGAACTCTATTTTAAATCTCTAAATCTTTTAACTTATCTTTCATAAAATAATATCCCGCACGGGCGTGCGGGTTAGAACCTAGTTAAATGATTAAAATAGTAGTAAAATCACATATATTTTTAAAAAATAATTCTGACTATTGTTGTTCAAGAAATAATAAGACTTGCGCATGGACTTGTAACCCCTCTATTTGCCAATAGAAATGTTGGCCTACTTTTACACCAGACTAGGTGATGACCCGCATATACACGCGGGCTTATATTCTATTATATATTTTTAGATATATAATTAAGTGTAATAGTTTTAAACATAATAATGAAAGAATTATGTAATTGCTAACTATATATTAATATAAATATTGTTTGAATTAACCTATATATTTTTATATATATTTTAATTGTTATTTTATTTAATTATTAATTTTTTGTATTAATTTTTCAGGAAACTTTTTTCTTAAACTTATAGAGAACAAAAAAGTTTTTTTTATCATTTTTTAAACATTCTAAATTTTCTTTAAACAGTGTTAAATTTTAGTAAGTAATAAGAATTGAAAAAATTGATGAAAAAACTATTATATGTTAAATAAAAATTTGATAATAATTTATTACACTTGTCCGCGCTAAGATAACTTACATATATCTTCAGAAGTTTTGTTTATCAAAATTGACTTATGTATCCCTTAAAAATTATGTTTATCAAAATTTATATCCTATCGTAAATTCTCTCATATATAAATACATATGGAAGGAATCATATTCTTCTTCTTAACTTTTTTATCGGTTTTCCTTTAATACACTGAATTAAATATTCAAACCAATAAGTATTGATAAGTATTGTTTCTTCCACTGTTTCACTTCTATGTTGGTTTTCTTTCTTAGCCCTTTTCCTCCTCCCACCACAATACAAAATATATAACTGACTTTTTTCATGATAAAAAATAAAAATCATGCTTTGATATGTATATCAATTCTTATGATATTTTAAATAAACATTTTTAAAAATATTTTTAAAATAAGTTGAAACAATTAGAACTGCATCTTCAACGCAAAGAAGTAGATAACTTAGCATATAATATAACCATTTTGACTAAAAAAATGATTTTGATATTGACTATATGATTTTGACTCTCTTGATCCTAGTAAACCCATATGATTTCTGTGTTATTGTGGTTTTGTGGCTTTTGTAGTTGACTATTTTTTTTTATGCGTGAATAAGACCAAAATTTAGAATTATTAGTTACACTCATAAAAACCATACATATAATCTAAATCTGTTATAAAGATAGTTTATACAACCATTTGAGAAGTAATTACAGCTTCTGTTAAACTAAACCCCGCAGGAGATTGAGTTTGCTCATGAGTTTGATTTCAATTAAATTGGAGTAATTTAAATAATTACGGGTTTTTGTTTTTGTTTTCTTCTGTATTTAAATCGTTCCAAGAGTTAATAATATAACAACCTTCCATTTGTTACATACTATTAAAACTTTTAGAAATCAACAAAAGAGGACATATTATATAATATATAGAATCGAGAATCACATACAAAATAAGTAAAATTTATGGGCACTGAGATTGGTAATATCATCATTTTCATCCCGCTCAACCTGATTCGTTTTCCTCTTAATTTACATAACCATGTGATGTATCATTATCACCTACCGAACAACGAATTAACATCCTTTATTGAACCACAAAAGCCTCGCAAGAAACAAGTGGCTTCTATTACTTTCTGATGCTGTTCTGACAAACCGAAGATAGAAAATGCTGAATCAAAACTTTTGTTACACAAAAACATCAAGTAATCTAGTGTTTTCTCACAACTCACAGAACATCAAGAGCAACCAATTTATGATAATCCTTTTAAGAACATAAAACAAATTCCACAGCTCATATAAATTATTCTACGTAGAAGAGAGCATAATTATATACATTCAACCCATCAAAAATCTCATCATGAAACGCTACAAAATTTGCGGTTCAACAAAACCATCAATTTTTGCCACAAATTTTTACTGTCTGCAGTAATTCGTACTACTCCTCTCATTCTCACTACAGTGAAGCTATCTCAGATTGCATTGACTTTTTTAATAACTCATCCATTAATAATATGTCTCACCAAGAACTTGAAGACCCGGAAGTTCATGACCACGCTTCTTTTGTTAACTCGAGCGTTTTTTTTTTCTTGTGCTCGTGAATCAAGAATTTTACATTTTGAACATTTTCATAATCTATCTAAAATATATGATTATCCGTTCCAGTCCAATATATAAAGCAGCTGGTTATATATATTTTTTTTACAGTGTCATTCAAAGATGCCAAAAGTTGGAAAAATAAGCGTCGTATCTGAAATTATATGATCGTGGAGTCAAAACATCATCACAACGGAATCCGAATTAAACATCTATTATATAAAGATTGGTGTGTCTCACAAGGGGATGACACATCAGCACCCTCTTCCATGGCACCTCAGCAAACTATTTTTTTTTTAACTAGGGATGTTACCGCGCTACGCGCGGACTGTTTTTATATAGATATTTAATTATTATTTAAGTTTTATTATTTTTACTTTAAGTTAATATTTTAAATATAATATTTAATTTTTAAAATTATTTTGATATGATTATACATCAAAAATATTTTAACGTATTCAAAAAATATATCATGATATAATTTTAAGAATTACCTACTTGATATATGCTAAAATTAACTGTTAATCTAAAACTTAATATTTGTATATAAACTCACTGTTATTCACTATTAACTTTTAAAATATTATTAAAATTATTTTTGTTTTGACTAAATTTGATTATTATTGTTCCAATTAATTTAGATTTTTATTTTTATTTCAACTGTGTTTGTGTAGTGTTTTTATTTAATTAGCAATCTCAAATACAAACAACACTCAATGTTCTAATCTCTTATAAATCTATAAAATAACTATGATTCATATAAATAAAAACAATATTTACATAGTATAAAAAATCACAATCATATTGATAAAATGCAATTTTGATTTGGTCTATGAAGTATACGTAAACTATAAAAAATATAGATGAATAAGGTAAGTAATACATATACAAATACAATTTCATACTAACTCATTATGTTAAATAAAGCATGTTGAGTTTCTCAAAACTCAAAAGATGTAAAAATTTTTGCTTGTAATTCAACTTAAACATTTTTTTCTTAAACTACACATATATATTTTGATGAGCCTTTATAATTAAACTAATAATATATATTATATTATTTTTAAAGGAGTTTCTTAACCCAGTAAAAAAAACCATATTAGTTTTTCATTCAAGTTGGGTTTATAAGGAATTTTGTTGATGTGGATAATTAAAGATTTTTTAGACATTTTTTTCTACATAAAAATGTGTATATTATTTTTTCAAAAATGCATTATTATTTAATTTAAGAATTTACTAACTTGATATATATAAAAATTAACTGTCATCTAAAACTTAATTTTTGTTTATAAACTGTTTAACTCATGTGTTGACATGTATCGCTTGTAGTAACTTGACTACCTTAAGCCAACTAAGACACGCATTAAATAAATATCAGTGCATGAAATTCTTCTTTTGTCTATCATTTTCTACAATGTAAATAGTAACAATGATCGAAATCTTCATATAGATAGATGCTTTGAAAAGCTTCCTATAATTTATGTTGTCTTGTTGGTTGCCATAATCTAACGTACTATGATGTTTAATCTGTATGTTTCTAAAAGGTGAATGTTTTAGATTTTTATAATTTGTAAATGTTTTAAATTTTATTTTAGAAATTATTATTTTGTAATCTTGGTTCTATTAACTATTATTTAAGTTTTTTAGCGCAATTTGTTGTCTAATATATTCACTATATTACAAAAAGGAGTATATATTAATGCTACAGATTTAAATGATATTTATTTTACTGATTTAGAAAATGATATTTAGTTTTATTTACTTATTCCTAATAATTATATTAACTTAGTGGTTCTATTTATTTATTTTATGTGTATTTCAAAATATATAAAGTGAAATTTTTTATTATTGTTATATTACAAACAAAAGAAGTATATATTGATGCTATAAATTTAAATGATGTTTATTTTACTGATTCAAAAAATAATATTTTAATTTTATTTATTTTTGTTGGTAACTATATTAATTTTAGTGACAAAAATGAGTATATATTAATGCTACAGATTTAAATAATATTTATTTTACTGATTAAAATGATATATAATTTTATTTAGTTTTTACTAATAACTATATTAATTTAATGGTTCTATTTATTTATTTTATGTGTATTTTAAAAAAATCTAAAGTGAGAATTTTCATTATTGTTAATTTGTTATATTACAAACAAAAGAGTATATATTGATGCTATAGATTTAAATAATATTTATTTTACTGATTTAAAAAATAATAATTTATTTTTATTTACTTTTGTATTTAACTATATTAATTTTGGTTCTATTTATTTACTTTATGTGTATTTCAAAAAAATCTAAAGTGAGAATTGATATTATTATTTTTTGCTGATATATCATATTTTTAGAGTAGTTTGAAAAGCTGAGGTGGATAGCTTAAGGAGCCCCAAATAGTTCCTTTTATTTAGTATAGATTTCGGTTTATCCAATTTATTTATTTGTTATCTGAGAATAATGGATTTTTAAACTTTGTTTATACGGAATGTTAGTTTTGGGCCTGGGCTTTAATCAATTAGGTTATCTTCTCCATTCTCTCCTAATCTTCAGTTAGCCGCGGGACCTGCTCAATTTGGCGCAATATCCTTTGGAAGGATAAGAGCCGGGGAGTTCCTCGTCGGTGACGGAATTAGGGTTACATTCATCCCACCCAAATCGATCAAGAAATGGCTCATGCCTGCGTCTCCACATCGGCTTCTTCTCTCAGGTTTACAGCTGGATTCGTCTCCGCGAGTCCCAATGGCTCCTATTTCGATTCTCCGAAGCTTTCTCACCCTTTCGATCCCCTACGTTCAAAGTCGATGCTTTTTTAAGTGTTCTTCACTGCGATTTCTCCCTAAATTACTGTTATGAGGTTAATTTGTGGATTTAAGAGACTGGGCGGATTTTGTTTGCAGGCAGACGAAGAAGTTATTTAGCAACATAAAGAATTGGAAGAACTCATCTCCGAAGGCTGTATATTCCGAAGGCTGATCCATAAGGTGAAACTTGAAAGGCATGAGTGTAGGCTTTAGGTGTCTTCAATTTCAAGTGTTTGGAGATGGTAGAACCTTTCGTTAACATATCTGATGCCGATTTTGCAGGTGTATTCCGTTTAGGTATATAAACTGTGACGAAGATGGTGGGAAAGTGGTTCAAGTGTTGATGATCAGCTCATCCAGTAGACCGGGACTTTTGTTTCCCAAGGTACAGCAAACGCCGTTTCTTCTCGCTTTCGCTTCGTTTGGAAACGATGTAACATATTCTGATTCATGGATTCATATATGTAGGGAGGATGGGAGAATGATGAGACAGTCAAAGAGGATGCAAGCAGTGGAAGAAGCAGGAGTCCGTGGGGTTTTAATGGTAAAACCATTTCACACACCACGTATCCCATTGCTGTTATTGTTAGCAACCTTGGTGCTGAATGTGTTAAAAACGGGACTTTGCAGGATTTCCTTGGAGATTATGATTTCAAGAGAAAAACGCACCAAGATGAGTGTAGCCCAGAAGGTCTAGGTAAGTTTCATGTTTTGTCTATTAGATTCTCTCTGTTTTGTTTTCGTTGGCCATGCGTGAGCAAATCTCTTCCGGCTCCTGTTGTGATCACTCAGGAACCATGACTCTTCGATTAACTGTAGTTTAAGCTTGTTAGTTATTACCGTATTAGATTCTCTGATAGATCAGATTCATCAGTCAAGAGGTGAATGTTTCCCTTTGATGATATAACTTGTCTCCTTCTTGGTGTGTTTTTTGTAATGTCAGAGACGAGACAAGCCGAGGCTTCTCGCATCAGAGAGAAGTACCCAGACAGAATCCCAGTAAGAGTTTTGTTTTCCACATCATTGCATCTCGAGTGGTAACTCTGCGTTTCTTTCCTGCTTAACAGAGTTTGCGCATCGCAGGTGATTGTAGAGAAGGCTGAGAAAAGCGATGCCCCCGTTATCGACAAGAAAAACTCAGTAATTTGTAGCTTATGAGTTACTTCTTCTTCTTCTTCTCATATTTCGTTTCCTTTTTCTACTGACAACATTGTATCTGGTAACGCCATTGATCTGCAACCTTCTTTTTGCTTGGTATTGATTGGATACAGGTACCTTGTGCCGGCGGATTTTAACAGTGGGGCAGTTTGTGTATGTTGTCCGCAAAAGAATCAAACTTAGTGCCGGAAAGGCTATCTTCGTCTTCGTGAAGAACACATTACCCTAACTGGTAAAAAAAACGATAATCTCTTTCCTTTATCATTGAGAGTTTGACTTATGTTATGGTGAATACAAGTTTTGTTTCAAATGCAAGTCCCTTCTTCGCCCTATTTTCCTGCGTATGCTCAAGGAGAAGGACCGCCCCTTTTTTGCAAGAGCGTTTCCAGAGTATTATTAGCCAGCTCTTCCAATATGTAAGCTGATGAAATCCCTTTTCTTTAAGATTATCAAAGTTTCTAGATCAGTTTTTCTGCTAAAATAATTGGTTTGTTTTTTTACTTTGATCGTTAGAGGATTATTCACTGTGGCGGTGATGTGGATGATGTTATGGCAAACATAATTGTAGCTCAGCTTCTGTTCCTTGATGCTTTTAACCCTACCAAGGTCAGATATCGTAAATTTCATGTCTTTTTGTTTTATTCAGATGTTTTCACTTAGGATTCATTGCAGCCTTTCTCTTAAGATGGACTTGATTGAGCTGGATTTCAATTCAATTTTAAAAACCTGATCCGACAAGTTCATGGTCTAAAACAGGCAAATGAAATGCTGCATCACAAGGCAAACCTAAATGGTTACCTCGCATACCAGACGGGTCAAAGCTTGGAGAAGATAAACCAGGACGTATTCACAAGAGACTACTTGTCGTTGAAGTCGAAAAGAGAATTATGCAGTACCAGAGCTACATTGAACAAGGACGTGTAAGATGTCCACTATTTTCTTTTCTATTTTCCTTCTTTTTTTATCATAATGATTTTACGAATGAGTCTTTAAAGAAAGTTGCTGGCCGTAACTTGATACTGTTACAGGATAAGGATGCAAAGACCGTATTTGGTTTGCTATTATACAGCCTTGAACGTTTATATTGGGTTGTTCAGAAGCCTGCAAAAGGCGGCGAGTGGGTTTTGTAAGTTTTTACTCTGATCCCATTAAATGTTTAGCTGAAAACAATTATTAAAACATAAAATGGTTATAACTTATATCTAAGTAAGAAAAAGCATTTTCTGAACGATGACCTTAGCATATCAGCTTGATATAAAACTATTAAGCCAGTATGTAATAATTGTCTCACGATACAAAACGCTAACTAATGCTCGTCCTCTTTCTTTGCTTGCCAATTTATATATTCGTGTTTCGGGTATATGCGCTGTGTTGTGCAAGAATTGACTGATATAGTTTGTGAAAAAGATGCACTGTCGTCTAATTATTGCTAAGTTTAAAATCTTTTCTTTCCAAATAAAATGTGTGTTTTCAAACGTGGGGGCTTGTCTGCCCTAAATTTGACAAACTCCACATAATTAGTTGTACCATATTTTGTGTCATTGCAGGAACCTATGCAGTCTGTCACGCTTTGACAAGCAATATATCTCAGACCTACTTTCTCTACAAATCTTAGCATCTACTCTAATGGTAAAAACCGCTTCTATCCGTTAAAAATTCTCTGAGCTTTGGCTACCTCGTAGAAACTTCTTTGTTTGATGATTTTAGGTTTTTCTTCTCGGATTCTCTTTCTGGTTTACGATATTGAGCTATTGATTTGTTAAATGATCTGAGATTCTCGACAAATCAAAGTTCTTAATAATTCTTAGATTTCCGTATAAAAACAGCATTTTTTCTTTTCTTTTTGAGGTTAACAGTAAGAACAGCTTCTCTTAATCCTTCATGTGTTCGCTTAATCTTGTATTTGCCGATGATTTATGCACAACGTTGAGGTTTTTTTCCCCCAAATTGAGTTTTCCTGTAATCTTTAGAGGATCTTACTTATTGATAATTCAAATGAAGCATATCGATTTTAATTACCTGAGAATGGCCAATTGTTTGTGAGATTGTGATCAAAGTTCTGTTTTTAACCGAGTTAATGACGCATCTTCGTGTGTTGCAGTAATGATCTTTTTTGAATAAATTAGTGATGTGGGTTCTCTTGTTTCCGGTAAGTTGGTGAATCTCTTCACGTTGCACCATCACCAGTGGTTTTTATTGGTCAATAACTATTGGTTTCTATTCTTTATTGATCTCCATGAAATATAAAACAAATGAAAGATAGAATGATCAATAACATCACATATCACAGTTTATTTCTATTTTCAGAGCGAATGTATTAACAGTGTCTAGCTGAAGCTACAAATTTCGAAATTTTTTTGTACAACAAAGTTATTTGGTTGTTTCGAAATTACATGTTATTTTCGTTTTTACAAACATTTAAAAATACAAAAAATAAATTAAAATATTTGAAAGTAAAAAAAATAAACATAAAAGTAAATTATTATGAAATAGATATATAGTTACTTACAATATTATATTGATTATAATTTTAAAAATATCATATAATAAAATATATAATATATATCCGTGTGTCATCACCTAGTTATTATGGAAAACTTAGACTCAGTTAAGTCTCACAAGATGTTGACACCTCAGCATTACTTTCCATGACAACTCAGCAAAAAAAATTAAAAAAAATGCCTTTTTTGCTAATAAAAGCATGAAATCTCAAAATCTCTAATCAATTTGAACCTCCACAAGCTCGAACAATCCATTTCACAAAGCTTCTTATTACACCACGCCTGATGGGAGACTAAGAACGAGCTGTCCACCCATTAAACTATTCCCAAAACAGAAAAAGATCCATATCTTAAGACATTCATAACAGTTCAACAATAGTATATATACACCGGGATCATATTTTTAAAAATAAACACTTTTACCTCTGAACATAGTAATAGCAGAAATCTGCAAGAACGAAGGTTTGGATGATTTCACAGAGAAGGGCCATTAAAGGCCATAGTCCATATCCTAATGCAGTCAGTAATCGTCCTCTCAAATCCAACACCTACATGAGTTTAAATCTTTTTTTTTCAAAAGCTGTATATATGAAGAAACAATTAATAAGAATTTATTGTGTTGTAACTCAAGAACCTGAAGGATCCAGTGTGCACAACTCAAGAACCTAGAAATTCCCAAAGCAAATACGTAATGTGCTGTGAATGGTTCCACGATCTGAGAAGTAGACATAAACATTGGAGTAAAGATACAGACAGAAACATGTTTCTTTTATTTTATTTAAACAGAGCACAAAGTTGAATAATTAATAGACCTTGGTGTTCTGCATGACACTTAATTGAGGAAGAACTGAAACAGCTTCAAGATAAACACATAATGCCCAAATGAGCCTGTTTATGATGTGGTGACGTGTTGACGGGTGAATGAGGATAGATACAACAGCACATGGGATCACCTGAAGCAAGAAGATAAAATGTATCAAAACAAATATTACATTGCTATCAAGATTCTCAATGATCATGATTACTCATCCAAATCAATAAACAAGTTCACAAAATCCTCTTATTGATCATCTACTGCTTACTCAAGTGTTTAATACAAGCCCTGAAGATAGAGAGCTAAAACGAAGAAAGTCTTTCCGAATGATAATCCTCGAAGTAATCGCACATAAACACATTCTTCGAATACAAACAGACAAAAACACAAAAGTGAAAACAGAGGGTTTGGTAACTTACAACGTAGTAGATAGCAAAATTGTCTTCATCTTCCATATAAGTGGGCCTAAGATTGACAGCTGAATCGAGTATTGTGTGAAGATCAAACTCCATTACAAAACTACAATACAATACAATCGCACGACCAGAAAAAAACCCGTTAGCTCCTGCGTCTTGAGAGATATCCGTGTTGATATCATCAAAATTATCAGACAAGTCGATCATAAGGACACAACAACATCATCCCACCAATTAGCGTTAAAAAAATCCCAAATTTCGTAGTGGATCTGAATCAAATCTAATTCAGAACCACCAGGAATTTTAATTACCAGCGCAAGTCTTCTCCTTTGTGAGCTTGTAGATAAGGACAGCTATGCCCATATGAATCCCATGGCTGAAATTCTGATGATGTCGAGCGGTGGCCGGAATTAGGAAAAGGGTGCTGCAGCGGCTGCTGCTGCTATAAATTAGTGTTCGACACTGGCCTAAAACCATGCAACACTTGGAGGGCATTCGCGGATTGAGAAGCTCCTCTTGCAAAGTATAAAGGAGGAGGTTGTGCTCCTGGGAATGCCATTGCTTCTGACTGAAAAATTACTTAAGAACTGAACTGAATAATATTTTAGCTGAATAATTCTGAAAAGCTGAAAATCGATTAATCACGTTTTGTTTTTTTTTAGTTATATTTTTAACACGCTAGCGGAATCACGTTTCAAAAACATAAAAAAACGTGAAAACGTGATGAATAGCATAAATGGTAAAAATACTAAAAAATAACAGAATCAAGTTTTCAAAACGTGAAAAAGTTGCATACCATTCAAACCCATGGTTGATTGAATTATGGGAGAAAACGCTTCGAGAAAAGGTAATTTTTGTTTGACTGAAATAATTTCACGAAACTTTAGATTTTATTTTAAAATTTTATTTTGTTTTGCTGAGTTATCATGAAAAGTAGTGTTGAGGTGTCGATATCTTGTAAGACTCAACTGAGTCTTTATATAATAGATAATTAGGAGTTATTTTTTTCCTCCTTGTGAAAAGAAATAAAATGCCATTAACAAATTATCCGCGAAAGTATCACGTGATTAGAAATAAAAAATGTCACCAACCTATAGACTCTCTCTCTCCCACTTAGTCAAGTCAACACACAGCCTTTGTGATATTATTATACACTTGTAAGGAGGAACCGAAACGAGGAGTTTATAACCTTAGGTTTAACACACGCCCCCATCTTTTTTTTTTTCTGTTTACAAAAGCATTTTCTCCGCACACACCGAGAAGACGAAGACGAAGACGAAGAAACCATGGCTTCCTCTGTAATCTCTTCCTCTCCCTTCGTCTGCAAATCATCCAAGGTTAATATCATCGTCATCCTTCATTTCTCGATTTCACGTAATTTGCTCTGGAATCTTCGAATTTCTTAGAAGCTTTTTCGACCGTTTCTTAATTTCGCGCAGAAGGATTTGGGGTTTTCTTCGTTTCCGAAATCGTCTCAGATTTCGGTTCATAGATGTCAGAAGAAATCAATTTCTCGGAAGATCGTCTCCGTGATGGCGCCGCAGAGGTCATCGAGCACCACGGGATCGGTATGAGCTTCTTCACTATTTCTCTTTTGATTTCTTCTCCTACTACAGCTTCCTCTAATGTGATTTTTTTCAATTTTCCAGGTGAAAACTGGGATGACAATGACGGAGAAGATTCTGGCTAAGGCATCAGAGAAGTCACAAGTGGTCCCTGGTGATAACATTTGGGTTAACGTTGATGTTCTTATGACTCATGATGTTTGTGGCCCTGGTGCTTTTGGTATCTTCAAGAGAGAGTTCGGTGAAAAGGCTAAGGTTTGCTTCTTCTTCTTCTCTGGCTTATCTTGCTTGGTTCCTTGGTACATGGTGATATCACTATTAGAATTCTCGAAATGATATTATGACTCATATTGATAGTTTGTGAATCTTACTATGATTGATATTATGTTGTTTTGTTGGAATTGATGTCAGTTACTTGAGAAGCTTGTGTAAATCTCAGTTGAGTACTTTTGCAACTTCATCTAATATGATTGTTGTTACTATGCAAAGTAACTGATAATTTTTTTATTATATTATGTTGTTTTGTTGGAATTGATGTCAGTTACTTGAGAAGCTTGTGTAAATCTCAGTTGAGTACTTTTGCAACTTCATCTAATATGATTGTTGTTACTATGCAAAGTAACTGATAATTTTTTTATTATACTATGTTGTTTTGTTGAATATGTTGTCAGTTACTTGAGAAGCTTGTGTGAATTTTGTATCTACATTTCATCACTTTTGCATTTTCACTTAATGTGATTGTTACTTATACATTCGGAAGGTTTGGGACCCGGAGAAGATCGTTGTTATACCAGACCATTACATATTCACAACCGATAAGCGTGCTAACCGCAATGTGGACATTATGCGGGAACATTGCAAGGAACAGAACATCAAGTATTTCTACGATATCACCGACCTTGGAGATTTTCGGGTACCCTTTCCATGGAGTCACGGAAACCCTGACTTTGTTTATAGTGAAACTGTATCTTGCTTGCATTTGGATGTAGTTTTTGATTAAATTTTTCCTCATCTGTAGGCTAATCCTGACTACAAAGGTGTTTGCCATGTTGCACTTGCACAAGAAGGTCATTGCAGGCCAGGAGAGGTAACAATCTCTTGCACTGGATATGATTGGCTTTGTTTGTTTCTGTTATAATTGATATATTCCCTTATGATAGGTTTTGTTAGGAACGGACTCACACACATGTACTGCTGGAGCATTCGGTCAATTTGCTACAGGGATTGGAAATACTGATGCAGGGTTTGTGTTAGGGACTGGAAAAATCCTCCTTAAGGTTTGTTTTATAGCTCATTATTTTGCTTCTCTGAGCTATAACTTTGTTCAGTGTGGTAAATGGAAACCAGTGATGTCTGTTTCAACTTGGCAGAGGCTTGATAGAATAGCTTCAAACCTGTTTAACACTCTTAACTTCTATAACCGAACTATAGTTTTTGAAGCTCGTATCCTGAATCTGCAGGTTCCACCAACAATGAGGTTTATCTTGGATGGTGAAATGCCCAGTTACTTGCAAGCAAAGGATCTGATTCTACAAGTGAGTGTGATATGACTTACATAATATATATTTTTATGTGTTCTAGTCATGTCTTCACCAAATTGCATATGTTTCTGTGAAGTCATTTTCCATTTTAATTTAATAATTCAAAGTTTTCGTTTTCGTGCTTCCTCCGGGATTCTGTCTGGCATCTTTCTTCTGTATCTTGAACATGCTTCCAACTTTGTAGATCATTGGTGAAATATCCGTTGCTGGTGCAACTTACAAGACGATGGAGTTCAGTGGCACAACTATCGAAGGCCTTACCGTAAGAGATTATTTTATTTTTCTGCATCATTTGTTCCTTCTCCTATGGGAATGAATACATTAAATTTTGGTGTTAGATAAATTCACTGATATATTAATCCTTGGCTGCTAGATGGAAGAAAGGATGACATTGTGCAACATGGTTGTGGAAGCTGGGGGAAAGAATGGTGTCATCCCTCCTGATGCGACGACATTTAATTACGTTGAGGTATGTATGCTGTCTTTTTTTTCCCTATAGATCATCTAATTCAACGAGAATTATGTTGATGTATTTAAATTACTTTTCTTATAACTTTTGCAGAATAGGACATCTGTACCCTTTGAGCCAGTATATAGTGATGGAAATGCAAGGTATAGTCATTAGTCACATGAGTTTATAAACAGTGGGAAGAGTAAATATAGTTTTTTGTGATCTCTATTTGAATTACTAGTGCAGCTGGAAATACCTCAATGCTTAAGATATGTTGCATAACATGTTTTCGAAACGATTGATTATATGAGTAATGCAACTTGATAGAATAGTCTCTCTTCAAGTAAACTTTTTGTGTGTTTTGGTTAGGGATCACTGTCTGCAGTTATATATCTGTAGTTAAACTTTATTTGTGTAATAATAAACTTCTCTTTGTTTTCTTCCGTAGCTTTGTCGCTGCTTATAGATTTGACGTGTCAAAGCTAGAACCTGTGGTGGCTAAGGTGGGTTAATCATGCTTACAAAACTAATCGTTGAGTTTATTTTTGCCACTTCAGGTTATTGTTATAATTGATTTATTATTGTCGATGTTTTTTCTTCAGCCTCATTCTCCTGACAACCGAGCTCTAGCAAGAGAATGCAAAGATGTGAAAATCGACAGAGTATACATCGGTTCATGTACTGGTGGGAAGACAGAGGATTTTATGGCTGCAGCTAAACTTTTCCATGCATCAGTAAGTTCCACTTGTTGTTCTCTGTCGTAGTTGACATCCTTACCACCATTTCATCTTGTGTTCGTAATCTAGAATCAAAGACTTCATCAAATCGAAAAGTTTAAAATCAGCCTGGTGATAGTTTTCTTAATTCTTTCATAATTAGATTCGTTTCTCATCTCGATTACCTCTATCTTGTTGCTGTTTTAGCCTCATGGAGAATCTGTTTGTGTATTTGCAGGGAAAGAAAGTCAAAGTCCCAACATTCCTTGTCCCGGCTACTCAGAAGGTTCGACATTGTTACTATCTCTCAAGTGATTTTACTTGGTTTTATAATTAAAAAAAAATATAAATATTAGATGCGTTCAATCTCTCGGTTATCTTTTCAGGTGTGGATGGATGTGTATGCCCTCCCGGTACCTGGATCAGGTGGTAAGACGTGTGCACAGATATTCGAAGAAGCTGGATGTGACACACCAACAAGTCCGAGCTGTGGTGCTTGCCTTGGTGGCCCAGCTGACACCTATGCTCGTTTGAACGAACCTCAAGTACGCACCCGTTTCTCTACACTATGTTTCCAATCATTTGCTGGCTTTTTAAAAAGATTAGTGAATTGTGAACTCTATTAAATCCTGAACCACTACGAACACTTAATCGTTAAGGCGGGGTGTCCTTCATCTAGGATTTGGAAATGATTTGTATTAGAATGACAAATCATGTGTTACTTCAAATCATCTGTTATTGGAAAATTATAATTAGTGGCTTTTAGGGGATTTTTAGTGACACCAAGTGAAAGTACAAATATCCAAATCATATGGGATTCTTTTAACGATAACAAATCATAGCAACTTGTCTAATAAACCCGAAATCATCTAAAAACTCATTAAAACTCAAATCTTTCTAAAGTCCAATTGATCCACATAGAATGTTGAAGTCTCTGATTTTTGTTTTTTTCATTTGGTAACAAAGATGCTTACTTTGTCATCATTTCTCTCATTCAATATAGGAAAGGTTCCCTTTAAATGATTGATTTTACAGATTTGATTTGGTGATTTTTTTTTACTATACCAATGAAAACTCTTATATATACTCAGACAATATATGTACTGAGAGACTGACAAGAGACGTGTTTTGGAAATGTGTTACAGGTCTGTGTCTCGACGACGAACAGGAACTTCCCTGGTCGAATGGGACACAAAGAAGGGCAGATTTACTTAGCTTCTCCTTACACAGCTGCAGCTTCGGCTCTAACTGGTCGTGTCACCGACCCGAGGGAGTTCTTGCAGTAAGCTCTAATAATGGCTTTGTGTGAAAAATTCCAAATGATGCATCAAGTAAACATCGTTTAAAATGATGAGCATTGTGAACTATATGTATGTATTTTCCATATTTTGTTGTTGAACTTAATAGTTTTGCAAGCAGTATGTCAAACTTTGATGTTTTGAGTTTTAAAGAATAAAAAGAGAGACGGGGAGGTAGAGAAGTCAAATGATCATATTATTCTAATTATACCTTCAGTAATTTGATTGCAAAGTTAAATATTGAAGACTAGTGAAAAAATTGGCTAACAAAGATAAAATTGGGGTTTGCTATTATTAAGTGAAAAATATAGATTCGAATAGCATTTTTTTATGTATTTGTAAAATGTATTATACTCCAATAATGGAGGCTATTAAGTCAATGGATCATTTCCCTATGAATTTAAAATACAGAAGATAGTACCGTTGAAACAATTGTAGAGAAACTAGAAAGTGTTATAAATGGATATGATTATCCAATGCCTTTTTGTCGTTAAATATTCACTCACCGACTCTCAATATTTAATGTTTTTCACTTTGCCTATATAAAGGCTTTACCCCATGTAAATAGATACATATGATAGCAAGATAATAAAGTGAGAAGACATTAAATTGTCTCACATCTCTTCTTCTCTCTCATCTCACTTTCTCTCCGTTAAGATAAAAATACTTTATATACATATGTATTACATATACATCTCACATATATAGCGGTATATGTTATAATACGTTATCAGAGCGTCTCTTAATCTATATTTATACCAGAAAGGTAAAATTTATTTTGGTTCAATTTATTTTAAATTTATTATTTTCCGTTTATATATGTCGAGATGGTAGGCGTTGTCTTCTTTGAGCTGATCGTTATGGTAAGTGCTGCCTCCACGATTAAATAATTATATTGTTTATTATGCCAGGATAGTAGACTCTGCCTCCTCCGAGCAGATCGTTATGGTAGGCTATGCCTTCACGATCTAAATGATCACATGGTAGACTATATCTCTTCGGATCATTGAGTGAGAGATTAAAACTCCTATCTTTATTTATTTGTTTATTCATTTAATTAATTAATTAATTTATTATATGGGTGATTAAAACTCCCCATATTTGTTCATTTATTTATTATGCAATCAGCAATTGTATGGTAGGCTCTGCCTCCTCCTATTGCTTTCAATTATTATCTTTTATTATGCCGTTACTATGCTCAAATTTTTAATCTAACGAATTAAGCTTTTGCTATTAAGTAATAATTTGTCAAAGCTCGAGATCGCTACCCTTAACTTACGTGGAAAGAATAATATGTCTTGGGCGGTAGGTGCAAAATTGCATCTAGAGAGAAATGATCTCTTGAGCACTATCGATATATCGGAAACGATATTTGATGAAATAAGGCAAATATCATGATCTTTTTACGCCACCATATCCATGATGGTTTAAATGATAAATCCATCACGAGTAAAGATCCTGAAGATCTTGGGAAATAAGTGGTTGAATCTCTAGATGAGAGAATTCACCCAAAGCTCGGAGTTGATATAAATCCTCCTGGTAGCTTAATAATATAATAAACTCGTGATGAGAAACCATCAGTTTTGTCCATCTAAATTAACTCCATTCCTAGGGGAAAATATTGAGTAATCCATTTACAGTAATTGTGATGGACAAATTTAATGAAAGAAAAGGATGATGGTTGGGACGTTGGAAGACAAAAGCTTAATGGTTTTGATGTATTATATGCTTTTGCTTTAAATGTTTTTGCTGTAGGTTCTATTGTACCATAAGCTGTATTGCCAGGTATGTGTTTAATATTTATTAATACATCTTTTATGAATATTTTAAATTTAGAAAATGCCAGAATTTGAGACTATGGATGGAAAAATATGTCTGGCAGACAGTGCTACAACGCATACGATTATTAAAGATAAAAAGTATTTCTCCAGTCTCAAAATAAGTGATTCTGCTGAAAGCGTGAATACGATATCTGGTAATGCAAAAATTATTATAGGCTCTGGAAGAGTCAGTTTTTCAATGCCAAAGGGAACAAAGTTTGAGATAAATGAGGCACTATATTCCCCAAAGTCTTACAGAAACTTATTAAATTTCAAAGATATCTGCGGAAATGGATATCATATAGAGACTATGAATAAGAATGGCATTGAATATCTTTGCATTACATCAGAGAGGAAATATATATTGGAAGAATTGAAAATGTTATCCTCTGGATTATATTGCACAAAAATAAGTATGACTGAATCATATGTTACAGTAAATCAGAAGTTTACTAGTACATTTAAGGTTTGACATGAAATGTTAGGCCATCCTGGTTCAGTCATGATGAGAAAAATTGTGCAAAATTCTAATGGCCATTTGTTGAAAAACGGAAAAATATTACAAATGGGCGAGTTTTTATGTAATGCTTGTTCTCAAGGAAAACTCGTAACTCGGCCATCACCAGCCAAAGTTGGGAATGAATCACCAGAATTTTTGGAAAGAATACATGGTGATATATGTGGGCTGATCCACCCACAATGCGGGCCGTTTAAATATTTTATGGTTTTGATTGACGCATCTAGTAGATGGTCACATGTGTGTCTATTGACCACACGAAATACGGCTTTCGCTAAATTCATTACTCAAATAATCAGGTTGCGAGCACAGTTTCCTGATTATGTTATAAAGAAAGTAAGGCTGGATAACGCTGGTGAATTCACTTCACAAGTGTTTAATGATTATTGTATGTCATTGGGAATCGATGTTGAGCATCCGGTTCTGCATGTTCATACACAAAATGGCATGGCTGAGTCATTAATTAAACGGTTGCAATGGATTGCAAGGCCGTTAATATTGAGAACAAGGCTCCCAATTAATGGGGACATGCTATTTTGCATGCAGCAGCCCTGATCCAGATACGGCCAAGTGCATATAATGAGTATTCTCCATTACAATTGGTATCTGGACAGGAGCCAAATATATCCCATCTTCGTGTGTTTGGGTGTGCGGTCTATGTCCCTATAGCGCCACCCCAAAGAACAAAAATGGGACCACAAAGAAGATTGGGAATATACATCGGTTATACGTCACCGAGTATAATCAGGTATCTTGAACCAGTAACTGGTGATATGTTTACGGCCGTTTGACCGATTGCCATTTTAATGAAGATGAATTCCCCGCGTTAGGGGGAGGATTGAGAGAATCACCAAAAGATATCACTTGGTGTACAAAATCTTTGGCTTATCTTGATCCTCCTACCAATCAACGTGAGATGGAAGTTCAGAAAATTATACATATGCAAAATATGGCAAACCAGTTACCAGATGCGTTCACAGATACAAAGAGGGTGACAAAATCATATATCTCCGCAGCAAATGTTCCATCCAGAATTAGTGTTCCTGAAGAACACATTGATGGGAACATATCAAATGAACCTAGGGTTCAGTTAAAGAAGGGGAGACCAATGGGTTCTAAAGATAAAATTCCCCGAAAGAAAAAGAATATGGGAGAACAAAGTAAAAAGGTTCCGGAAGAACCATTTAAAGAAAAATGTCCTGAAGACATTTGTGAAAAGGTTCTAGAAGAACCAGATAAAGAGATTCGTCTTGGAGACGAATGTGAAACAGAAAAATATGAGATTTCCATCAATTACGCCCAAAATGGAGAATTGTGGATCAAAGATAAGATAAAAGATATTGATGGAATATTCTCATTTTCTGTATATAAAGAGCTTGAAAGCGATGATCCAGATCCAAGTTCCATATTAGAATGTCAGAAAAGACATGATTAGGAGAAATGGAAAATGGCCATTGAAACAGAATTATTCTCCCTGAATAAAAGAAAAGTTTTTGGACCTATTGTCACAACACCAGAGCATGTAATGCCCGTTGGATACAAATGGGTGTTTGTAAGAAAGAGAAATGAGAAAAATGAGGTCACAAGGTATAAAGCGAGGCTTGTGGCACAAGGTTTTTCTCAAAAACCGGGAATTGATTATGAGGAAACATATTCCCCGGTAATGGATGCAATAACTTTCAGATTCTTAATGAGTCTAGCAGCATCCATGAATTTAGACATGTATCTGATGGATGTTGTGACCGCATATTTATATGGATCACTGGAGAATGATATATATATGAAAATCCCAGAGGGATTAAAAATGCCGGAAGCATTAAGATCAACATCTAAAGAGATGTGTGCGATCAAATTACAGCGATCACTTTATGGATTAAAACAATCCGGACGCATTTGGTATAATCGCTTAAGTGAATATTTGTTGAGTAAAGGTTATGTCAACAATGCGATATGCCCTTGTGTGTTTATCAAGAAATCCGAATCGGGATTTTTGTGATCATTGCTGTTTATGTTGATGACCTGAATATAATCGGAACTCAAAAAGAGATTGATGATGCAAGAACTCATATGAAAGAAGAGTTCGAAATGAAAGATCTTGGAAAAACAAAGTTTTGCCTTGGGCTCCAGATAGAGCATTTCCAAGATGGTATATTTGTGCATCAATCAAATTATACGAAAAGGATCTTGAAACGCTTTAGTATGGATAAAGCGATTCTTTTGAGTACTCCGATGGTCAATAGATCGCTCGATGTTGATAAAGATCCATTTCAGCCATGTGATGATAGCGAAGAAGTATTAGGTCCTGAAGTACCTTATATGAGCGCTATCGGTGGGCTTATGTATCTTGCAAATTGTACTAGACCTGATATAGCTTTTGCTACTAATTTACTTGCAAGATACAGCTCATCTCCTACACGCCGACATTGGAACGGAATAAAACATATATTCCGTTATTTACAAGGTACCATTGAATTTGGTTTATTTTATTCAAGAAACCCCGAGTTTGGTATGGTTGGTTTTGCAGATGCAGGATATTTATCGGATCCGCATAAGGCTAGATCGCAAACCGGATATGTTTTTACAATTGGAGGAACTGCGATCTCTTGGCGTTCCCAAAAGCAAACTTTGGTTGCAACATCTTCAAATTATAC